GTTGTTTGCAGCTGCTTGTTTTGGCTGCCTCGCCGCAATCGGCCTCCGCTTCCGATCTTGGAGCTGCGCCATCTGATCTCAGCATTCTACGTACGCGTACATTCTATAGCGACACGACGGCGGCATTGCGCCAGGCAATGCTGCAACTGGTCGGCGGACGGGACCTCGTCTCGCTATCAGATGGCGAAGTCCGCGCGCTGCTTCAATCAGTCCTAGCAGCCTTGACTCCAGAAGCTACTCTCCCGTGCTTGAACTGGACATGGGCGCAACAGCTTCTAGACGGCACCGAGTCTGCTGTAGAAACCTTGGCGGGGTTGGTCTCCAGCGTTGCCGCTCTGGTTCATCGCGTTCGCGACAACGACGCTGCGCAAGCCGATTTAGCAGCAGCCGGCTCGAGAAGAGGCGGTAGCAATAGCCCCTTGGCTACCATTTTGCTGACTGGGAATGCGCAGGCCATTGCCGACAAGCCACTCTCCTACCATTCGCCATTGTTCTACCACGGGACTCGTGGGTATTACGCCGATTTACAGGTTGGCTGCATCATGCTAGAGCAAGTGTTTGGCACGGCGTCGCTCCTGGTGACGCACTGCTCTTCCCTCGGAACTTCGCTGGTGAGTGGAAGAGTTCCGAGCGAGCTCGGCAAAAGCGTCATGGGCCGGGGACTGCAGTGGTTTCCACACAGTCTGCTCCTACGTCGAGCCTGGCACGCGTTGCGGCGGGAGCAGGGCCGCTATCAGCGGCTGTTGTCCGGTCTCGGCGAGTTGGCAATGGAGAGCGGACCGCTGGGCCTCGCGTTCGCCATCGAGGACGAGCGTACCGCTGGCTCGCGCGTGCATCAAGCAGGAGGGTTTGACGAAGAGACCGAGTCGATGCAAGGCAGGATCAACCGCATTCGTGCCGTGTTGGCGCGGGCGTTTGATCCGACGAGTCGACAGTGCGAAGGGCAATTCCAGTCCGAGGTGCGCCACTGCGTTCCGCTTTGGCGCATGTTTTTGCAGTTTGAAGCGTCCTGCGTTTTCCGCGAGGAGGCGGCGGCTCGCGTGCGAGAGCGCGATTTGCTTGTGACGCTCGAAACGAAGACGAGTGGCCTTCTGGAGCGCCAGGAAGGCCAACAACTGCTCCAAGCCGAGCGACTCCGCTTCTTGCAGCCGACGTCGGCAGCAGCACCACCACAACAGCACCAGACCACTGGCGATGGTGCAGAAAACGCAGAACTCGAACGCCTGAAATCGGGATTTCACAAGCGCCTGGAGGATGAACGGAGGCGCCGCCACCGTCGCCAGCGCCAGCGACTCACCGGTGTGTTTGTTCGCGCGCTGCAGCAGTGCCCTTGGGCAAAGGTGCTGTATCTGGACGCCATCCAGTGCGGCTTGTACCGCGGACCTCTCCATCCCGATCTCGCCACACAACTCCAAATGGTGCGCAATCCGCACGATTGGGACGATTCGCTCCAAGATGTGGTCGATCTCATGCAAGAGAAGGGCCTGCATGTGCGAACAAGCGTTGAAGAAATCGAGGCGCTGGATCATGTTGATGCGCATCGAGCTAATGATGGATCTGCGATGACATTTTGATGGAGGAGCAATCGTAATGCGCCACTTGTCATGTATGAACAAAACTATCCTGCAACTGTAAACACTTTGACACACACACAAAAAAAAAAGAAAAAAAAAAAAGAAAAGAAGCAAACTTTGGGATTTTGTATTTTAAGCGGGAACAATGTTTTACGGAGGACAAAGGCACGAAATGGACGAGCTTTTCGATAAGCAGAGCTACCGTTAAAACTGGATTTATTCCTCATCAGCCTCCTCAGCGGGGGCGTCAGCCTTCTTGGAGGCCTTGCGCTTGTTGCGACCAGCGCGGCCACCGCCGAAGGGCGAGTTGAGGGCAAAGTCAATGTGCTTTTGCGAGTCAAGGCGGACGACGAACGAGGGGACGTTGACGATCTGCTTGCCGACGCGGATGTGGCGCTGGCGGATGAGGACGCGGGCGTGGTGGATCGACTTGGCAAGACCGAGCTTGAAAACCTGGGTCTGGAGGCGACGCTCGAGGAAATCCTCGACCTTCAGGCCAAGAACGAAATCGAGGCGCATGCGGGACTCGTCGAGGACACCAATGCGGACGAGGCGGCGAAGGAGAGCATTGCCCTCAAAGAGACGGCGGGAATCCTTGTCGTCGAGGGTGAGGAGCTCACGGGCAGCCTTGCGGATCTTGGCAAGGGTGAGCTGGACACGCCAGACTTCGCTCTTGTTGCGGAGACCGAACTCACCGACGAGCTTGAGCTCGCGGTCGAGACGCTCCTTCTCGTAAGGGCGGCGAGGAGTCTTGACAGTCTTAGAGCCTGCAGAGGATTAAAGCAAAAGAGACGAGGGCAAAAAAAAAAAAAAAAAAAGAGGCATCGACAACAGTAAAGCGGCAAAAGGACATTCGACTGGCGCGACCAACCAAGAGGCAACGTTGGGCAAATCGGAGGGGACCGTGATGTACATGCACATGTGGCAAAAAGTCGAGGTGGTCCAAAAGGGCCAAAGTACAAAAACACCAGAGCCTTGCTGCACACGACACGATCTGCCAGAACAGATACGCCATGATGCATCGAGAGCAGCGGAATGGAGAAAGCAGGGGCTATCGACGCATACAACCAAACGCGAGTGAACTTGTCCAACGAGTCGCTATTGTTCAGCCAAAAAGAGGATGAAGAAAACAAAAAAAAAAAAAAAAAAAAAAAAAAGCGAAAAAAAAGCGAAAAAAAAAAAAAAAAAGCAACAGCACATGGAACGAAAAAAAAAAAAAAAAAAAAAAGCAAAAAAAAGTTTGGCTTTCAACAATCAGAGCGCGACGTGAGGACAAAAACACACACAGGATGGGAAAGAGGAACAACAGTACGAAATGCAAAATGTCAAACAAGAGCAAAACACACCAAACAGCCAGCAACACGAGGACCACGGGGCACTGGTGGCTGGTAGCAGATGGGCGCTTCGAGTTTTTCCATTCGGGCAATCGTCGCGAGCGTTGCTCCCCCAAACCCATTCCGATTGGACATTGCATCAACAACACACTGCAAACCCATCGTCAGCAGGAAGGGGCCAAGCCATCAAGCGTGAGCATCATGGCGGCCCGGATTCAATAAAAAAAGCAAAAGAAAAAAAAAAAGAAAAAAAAAAGCGAGATCGCCTCGTTTTTTTTTTTTTGACTTTTTCGTTTGCTTTTTTATTTTCATCTTTTTTCACTGCTGTCCAGCGTTTTTCGTCTCTTTTGCCACAGAGACCACGGACGACACTACCACAGTCCAAACCAATACCCAAACAAAGCTCAAAAGTGGTGCCAGAGGAAGCTTAAGCAAGCGCTTTCCGACAAAAAACCCAAGCAAAGGGTAGGGACTTGAAAAAAAAATAATTCAATGGAGCGCCAGCCAATGCAAAGCCAGCCAAAAATGCGGGAACCGAAAAAAAAAAAAAAAGCTCGCTCGCATCAAAGTGGCACATGCAGTTGGCGGCAGCACACATCGACCTCTTTCATTTCGTGTTGTGTAAATAGCACTGAAGAACAAGTCCATCGAGTGCTCCGTTCGTTTCATGAGGAGCTGCTAGTTTGCTCTTTCCGTGCATCATGCTGAAAGGCATTGAGCTTTTCGATTTTTTTTTTTCATTTTTCGCTTTCAATCCGATCCACTTCCCGCTCGTCTCCCTGCCGTTCACCAACAAGCCAGCCTGCCAGACCTCTCCCAGTCTCCCAAATACCAACGTTCGCCAAGTGAGTCGTCCACGAAAACCACATAGCCCTTGTTCCATCAACCGGCAGCGACTTTTCCGACAGCAACGACGAGAACGACAAAACTCAAAAAAAAAAAAAAAATCAACCGCGTGGAAAAGAACGAAAATCAAAGAAAAGTTAAAAAGAAAAAAAAAAAAAAGAAAAGAAAAGAAAAAAAAAAAGAAAAGCAAGCAGTGAAGGTTTTTGGCCTCAGCACCGTGCGGAAGGCCGGAAGGCTGATTGCGCGGCTGCTGCACACACAACAGACAAGAAGGATGAAGAAGGGCCAGTGCTTATCGCGGAGGCCTCCACGACAGCCACAGACAAGGAGGGGGGAAAAAAAAGCGCGAGGGAAAAATATAAAAAAATAGTGCGGCCAAGCAGAATTTTTTTTTTTTTTTTTTGTAGTCGTTCAGGTCGTTTGCTGCTGTTCAAACAAACAGTCATTGATGCTGGCGGTTTCTAGAGCATGGCGTAAAGTAGTTAGCTGGAGACCACCCGTAAGTCAAGCGTGGACGGGGAGAAAGAGGGAGAGGGGCAAGGGTGGATCGAGGGCAGAGCAAAAGAGAACGAGCTGGCTGGACAACGAAAATCGAAGGAAATAAAAAAAAAGAAAAAAAAAAAACTCAATGGTTTGCCAGCAAAAAATGCTCGAGAAATACAGACAGGGCGCGGCATGGTAAGAAATAAGAGAGAGCGAGCATCTAAATGCGGACGACCCTTCAAGTAACTCAATTTCGTCTGCGCGCTCTGTTGGATGCGGAAAAAATAAAATTAAAGCAGTAAGCTTGGTAAAAAAATGGAGACATTGAAATTACCTGAGGTCGAGCGACAACAGGGGAAAACGGCAGGCTCTGGAAAAAGCCACCTGTCTCGTTGAAACCACTCAGACCGCTTTGAAAAGCGGCACAACGCAGCATCATCAGGACCGTTTTGGAAGAACAATGATACAGTATTGTGCGTCCGAAGTGAAAACTGCAAAATGAGTTTGGAAATAGAAACGGACGATTTGGTTTTTAAACATATGAAATGGTACAAATTTGTAGTGCGATTTTGGACAAAATGCTATCGATTTGGTTTTTAAAAACACGAAACTGTCCAAACTGCGCCCGAGTTGGTTTTTGCCAAGATAAGGTCTGGTTTTTTGGCGCGAACAATTTGGAATAACAGCTTGAAACTGAAAATTCGCACTCTTGGTTGGGAAATTGCCACTTCATGTTTGGGATTTGCAAACACCCCCAGACGAACCTGCTCTGTAGCCATGCCCAAACGTCAAAACGAGGCGCAGGCCACCGAATCACGCGCGCCGCGGAAGTGTGTCCATCTAGAAGACCCCGAACGGAAGCGGATCATCGACTTGGCTGTTGATCGCGCCTTGCCTCTCGTCACGGTCGCCAGCATGCTCCATCACCCCATCAGCACTGTGTCCAACGTAGTGCAACGTTTCAAGGAGCGCGGAGAGTGGACGTCACATCACGTCAATCCCAAGGGATGCCGTGTGCTCACAGCGGAGCATCTCCATTTTCTCGAGATGGAGCTCGACAAGAACGTCAATGTGACCAATCAAGAGCTCCAGGACCTCCTCCTGACGACATTTGGCATTCAAGTGCATCAAACAACCATCGGGCGTGCCATTTTACGACAGGGCTTCACGTTCAAGCGCGTGTACGAGCAGGTCAAGGTGAAAAATTCGCCTGAAATCAAAGCCCAACGCAAGAAATGGGCTGAGCTCTTCGAGGCTTTCCAGACACCTGTGGATCGCTTGTTCTACGTGGGCGAGAGTGGATTTAATGCGAATCAGCATCGAACGCGAGGTCGATCTCGCAAGGGCGCGCGCGCAATCGTTCAAGTTGGCAGTATTCGTGCAGCGAATTTCACGCTCATTGCAGCGATCGGAATGAGCGGCGTTGTGTTGAATGAGATCCAGCTCGGAGGCGTGACTGGCCATGTCTTTGCGGAGGCGATGACCAAGCTGTTTGACACGCTCGAGGCAAAAAAAGCCGTCGACACCGCCGCGTCTGGCATCGCTGTGGATGAGCTCCCAGTGCAACAGCTTGAGCCCGACCTCCCCCTTACAAACATGGTTGAGGACAGTGTGTCGACCAGTAATGCAGTTCACGTGCCACTGCTGGCGTCCGGTGCAGCGTCCTCGTCCCAACCACCTGCCCCTCCCGCTGCAGTTGTGTCGTCTGCTGCGTCTGCAGCTGGCGGGTCAGCTCCTGCTTCCACCTCTGCTTCCACCTCTGCTTCCACCTCTGCTTCAACCTCTGCTTCGACGACCAGAAAGAAGCGCCGTTCTCGTCGCAGGATTCTCGACGATGATGACAACGATGATGGCGGCGTCTACGTTCCACCACACGAAGAACTCATTCAAGACGAGATTGATGAGCACAATGACAATACTTCCTATTTCGTACCGAGCGAAGAGCACCCAGGTGTCAGCTTTCCGGGACATCATCGCTACAAAGCCTGGATCGTGCTCGACAACGCGCGCATTCACAAGACTCCCGAAGTGCGCGAGCTTTTTGCACGCCGCGGGTATGGGATGCTCTTTCTGCCTCCGTACTCATCGTTCTTGAACCCGATCGAGTATGTCTTCAACCAAGTGAAGGCTGCGTTCAAGCGCTCCCGGCTGGAACCGAACGAAACAATCTCAAGTCGCATTACCGCTGCTGTTGGTACCGTGACGGCAACGCATTGCCAAAACACTATCACACATGTTCAGCTCAAGTACTTTAATGCTTGTCACGAGATGCACGATGTGCTAGATTAGTTGGCGTGCTCTCCTTCGAAAGCTCCCTCAATGGCACCCGCTCGCCTGTTTTGGGTGGTCGTTTGATGTGATCGTCCGTGTCATGTTACATGTATAAATACTGCATTATTGTACATCCATTTCAAATCATGTTTATTCTGCAACAAGCATCTGCCAAAGACAAGTCGATGGCTTTCATAAAAAAAAAAAACACCACAGTCCGGTCGGCCTTGCGTCCTTTCTTCACTCTACCCGTAAACCTTCATAAAACAAACATAGTTAAGCCTATTTATACATGCATGTACATGTATTGAGCGTATGCAAGCTGGAGCGCTCCACTGTGGAGTGCACATTGCGTTGTCATTGGTGCTGCAACTGGCTGGTCGTTAGGAATGATCGGAACAATCCACTCGGCATACGATTGCCACCAATTTAATGACACTATGATAAACTATGCGAATGCTAATGCTTACACCGAAATGGCTCGTGAGTACGAGCCCTGGGTGGTAAAGACGTCGCTGTGGAAGTAATTCATAAAAACTCTAGTTCGAGTTCTTCCCGAGCCCTAGCTTTCCCGCTACTCACCCCAGCATCTAATGACCTTCCAAGATACATGATTCAATTCAAATACTTCCTGAAGTTGTTGGTAATTCTAACATCTCAAGTGGGTTAATTCGAAATACAAGCTTGCAAAAACCAACTCGTTGAAAACCAAATCGAACGCACAAAAACCAATTACGGAAAAAACCATTTTTCTCGCACTTTCAACCAAGCTACTTTTTTCCAGTCCGATTTTCCTCACTTCGTCCGCTCTAATTTCCAACCTCGCATCATCAGGACCGTTTTGGAAGAACAATGATACAATCATTCAACTCATAACGGGTTGATAATGGATTGTCAACGCTGAGCGCAGTTTTTAGTTTCTTCTTCCTTTTTTTTTTTCTTGTTTTATCCCGAAATGTCGGCTCCGGCTCCAGCTGCGGCTCCAGCTGCGGCCCCGGATCAGCAGCAGCCAGCTTTTCGGCGTGTGTTCGGTTTCATCGGCGGCGCGGTCGCCAACACGGTCGCCACATTTATTATTTTGGTTGTGGCGGCTTTCGTTGCTCGGCACGTGCTGGACAACAAGAACACGATCGCCAAGACCCACTCGCCCGAAGTCGTTCAAGCTCGCATGCTCGCACGCTTCGAGGCCGGCTCCGTCATCCCGCCCGTCAGAAAGTCCCACATCGATCGCCCGGATGTTGTTGCGATGCTTGAAGGGGTGCTGCGCCCCAAGGAGATGACGCGCTACCCCGTCGTCGTTGGCGAAACAGGCTGCGGCAAGACCAGCGCCGTCCTCGACGCCATCCGACCCAACCGCACTGGCATTGTCTACCACATTGTCAAAAGCGAGGTGTTAGTCTCGGTGCCGGGTCTACTGGCGGGGTCTCTCGCATTTGAGCCCAACCAATTCAAATTCGCAGACGCCTATCTCGTTGACCGTGGCGCGACCTTGAAAGACAAACCGGCCGAGGAACCATTCAAGAGTTGGGAGGCTCTTGTTGCTGATCTCGAGATCGTCGCCGCACAGTTCAAGGCCAAGCACGGTCATCCTGCCACGCTCGTCATCGACGCCGTAGACATGATCGCAAAGAAGGGGCCCGAACTGTTGCATGTGATTCAAGATTTTGCCAAGTCGGCTGCGGACGCCAACCTGCTCAATGTTGTTCTCGTCACCAGCGATGGTTCGACTCTGCCCGCGCTCAAGGAATCGTCAGCAATGACTCGTGCTCGCGTTGTCGAAGTGGGTGATCTCACCGACCAACAAGCTGTCACATATCTGGTGCGTCGTGACATCCACGAGGATTTGGCCAAGCGTGCGGTCGCTGAGATTGCTGGTGGGCGTCTCATTCTGCTCAACAATCTAGCAGACGACCTTCTGTTCAAGACTGTGGACGAGATCTTTCGGGAGTTCTACTTGGAAACTCGAGGCGCTCTTCTGCGTTTGATTGGCGTTCTGGACGCGTTCGATATATCGCCTCCCGTGAGCAGCACCTTCTGTCTTCTCTCTCGAGGCGCGCGCGATTTCGATGCCGTGGAGCGCTCGCTTGGTCTCGACCTCACAAAGAAACTCCTCGCCACCAACATCAACATTCTCGCTTACCATCCCAACAAGACCTACACCCTTCACTCGCGCCACGTTCAGCGCTCCGTGGCTGCCCTGCTGAACTGCACGAGATCGTAGGGCCGTCCCTGTTTCTGGCTTCTTGAGCCATCTTCAAGCGTTCACCCTCTGCCAACGCTCGCTTTCGTTTGTTGCAATGCGTTCTCAGCATCTGTATTGTATCTTGAAGACGTCGCTCTGAGAATAAAAAGCCAATTGTAAAGCTTAACGGCATTCTCGATGCTCGTTGAGCGGCCGACTTGCTGTGCATGGTTGTGTGAGTGCATGAAGCCTGTGTCACCTTGATTGCTTTGATACCCAACGGCCACTCCGACAGACAAAAACACCAATGGCGATGAACTTCGTTCTGAAAGAAACGAAAAGTTGTGTATTCCTCTTCATCTACGACTTGCAACTGACTCTTTATGTACGCCGTTTTGGGGATGCCTTGAATAGCATACATTGGGTGGTGGTCTGGCTCAAAGAATCTCCTTTTCCATTGTTCTCACCTTGTTTTCCCATCTCATGTCGTGGGTTCGGAAAGTTTCATTGGACTTCTTTCCTTTTGCTGTCCACAGGTGCATCCAAGGCCACACACGCACCTTGTCTCCTTCATCGAGCAACATACAAGACTCGCCAGGAGTGCATCTGCTGAAGGAAAGCAAAGCGTTGGTCTAAAATCGATGGAAACATCCCGTAGGAAAAGGAAAAGAAAATGCCCAGTCAAGAATCTCCATTGCCCTGCTGCTTGTGTTGCTTTGGTTTGATGCGTTGTTTGGTTGATCGAAATGAACAACACAAAATGGACAGAAAACGATTTGAAGATTGAAGACAACAACAATTGACCCCAAAACACTCAAAGCAAAAAGAGGGGGAAAACAAAGAAGAAAAGATACGAGATCGGTTACAGCGCTTTTGAAGGCCCCCCGTTTTTTTGTTTTGTTTTGTGGGTTGTGACACAAACAAACGAGGGGGGTATGGTGGGAGCCTGTTGGCTTAGAACAGCAGGTCCTGGTCTTGTTGCGATACGATATCCTGGCCCGCATGCGCTTCTGGCGTGATGAACGGGTTGCTCATCATGCCAGTGTCCGCAGCGCTAGTGTCTGCAGGGGCGTCGGTCTCGAAGGGATTTGTTGGTGCAGTGGCGGCCTCGCGGAGGGCTTCTGGAATATCGTAGTTCGGAGCAGGAGCAGCAGCAGCGGCGGCGGCCTTGTCGCCCTTCTTGCCCTTGGCGGGCTTGGCGGGAGCTGGTGCGCCGGCGCTGGATTGGGCGAAGGCGGCCTGAGCAGCCTGGTCTTCGGCAAGCTTGGTGGCGGCGTTGGCCAGGGCGGCCTTGGCCTCGGAGGCAGCGCGGCTGGCCTTTTTCTTCTTTTGGATCTTCTTGAGACGGAAGAACTCTTCACGATCCATCTCGTCCAACTCGGAGTTGATGTACGAGATGGTGTTTTCGATGCGGGGGATGATGACGTGCTCGATGGCGTTCACACGGCGGTTTGTGATCTTGATGACCTCGTCGAGGGTGATGAAGGTTGTCTGGAGCGAGGCAATCTCAACGAGAAGCTTGATGGCTTCAATGTAGTTGAGGCGGGTGCGGGCAATGTGCTGGCCACCCTTGCTCAGACCGGCGAGCTCAAAGGTCGAGCCGACGCTGTCCATGTACTGCTCAAACACCGGGAGCTTGACACCGGCAACGTTGTCCGTCTTGGTGCGGACGCGGACCTTGGCCACCTTGGCGCTCTCAATCACGCCATGGCTAAAGTCGCCGGCGACGAACTTGGCCTCCGCCAGCGAGAACGAAGCGAGGCGCATCACCTCGCCCATCGACTCCTTGCTTCGGATGATGGCGCCGAGAATCGAGCGGAAGCGCAGCGACAGCGCGTCGGCCTTCTTCTTGAGCAGCGAGTGACCCTTCTGAGCGCCTTTCAAGCGGTTCTTCATGGTCGTCAGCGCCCTAACGTGTTCAAAGAATGGTTTGGATGAGCAGTTGGCAAAAAAAGGAAAAAAAAGGAAGGGGTTTGCATTTGGGGAGGGGCCCAAGACGAGATCATAAACGAAAGCGCAATGGAAAGTCAGCAAAAAAAAAAAAAAAAAAAAAAAAAAAAAAAAAAAAAAAAAAAAAAAAGCACGAGTGTAGTGTTTTTTCCCCTTCAACTTTTTTTTTTTTTTTTTTTTTCGCCTTCCACACGAGGCCGCACATGCGCGACAGAGTCGAGTGCAGCGCCATCGGCTTTCCTCCCCTCGACTCCTGGTGACCAGCGTTGCAGCATGAGGACTTGAGGGCAAAGGCGAGGAGCCGAACGCAGCGGCCAGGGCGGGAGTGATCGCCATCCCAGCAAGAAAAACAAGTTGGTGAAAAAAACCAGGTTGCGATGCTGGTCTGTGCGCTGGGGTCGACGTGAGTGGCATCGCGAGAAGCGCACCCGGCGGAAATCGTGGAGATGGGGTTGAAGAGGCTGTCAAGGTGGGGGGGGGGCAGGAGGTTGCCCCACTTCCGAAGAACAGCCGACAGCAAGCGCAAGAAAAAAAGAAAAAAAAAAGCAGGTGACAAAATCGGGGGAAAACGATTAAAGTAGCAGGAAACACTAACAAAAAGCAATCCAGCTGCTACCCTCTTGCTACCCTCTTGCTACCCCTCCATTTACACAGTAGTGACCTCTCCCTGCGCTCCTCCTGCGCGCTTGCTTGCTGCCACGACTGTGAACTACGGAATCACAAGTGTACACGCGCAACGGAATACACAAGCTCAAAGCAAACCTACATGCGCGTTGGGAAGATGGGAATACGATCCTTGCCAGACATCTTTGTGAATGCAACAGAAAAAAAAAAAAGAAGAAGAAAAAAGTGGAGTAGCCTTGTCCCAACGACGTAGATTCGATTGGGTACAACAATAGAGAAATCCACAAAGAGTACATGCACCAAATTCAATTGATATCAGAGTGATCAGGGAAGGGGGAACGGGGAGGGGGGGGGGGAAACAAATGCGCAGCGAAGCAAAGTCTCGCTGAGAACGCATGCGAATCTTCCCATTTCTGAGCTTCTGAGCTTCTTCGCTTGCCAGCACCAAGCAATTCGTGGACGCTTTCTTCATTCCCAAACGTTTACTTGGCCTTCGATCTGCGAGGATGCCCAATGCTCATGCTGGATGCCAGCGCAAAGTCAGCAAAGTCACGAATCCTCAGTCGATTTTTTTTTCCTCGTGCTTTTCTCCTTGAATCTTGAATGAGCGACGACGAGAACGAACAGCGCGCGACATCGGCGATCGAGTCTGCTGCTGTTGACGATGCTGTCGATGCTGCTGCTGGCACGGTGACCGAGGTCGCGGCTGGCGACGAGACACCCGGCGGCGTGCGTGTCAGCGAGGCGAGTGGAGCGGCAGCAGAGCGCGTGGACGGCGACCAACTGGGCGCCAACGCAGCACTAGCAGCAACAGCGCAGCCGGAAGCAGCCCCGGCTCA